TTTTTTTTTAAATGTCTTTATATAATGAGAAACTTAGGATCTGCTCTAACATCATTATCACACACATTGTTATTCATAAACAGCATCTTAAGGATAAACAGTAAAACAAGGCCTACAAGCTGCTTCCCCTGAAATGCAGCTAAATGGGTGATATAGAAAAGACAGGGAAAGAAGCACCCAAGTGGGAACTGGAAGAAGACTACCCTTTCCAGGAACACGGCCTGCAGCTCAGCTTGTGCCAGGCTTTCCAGCTCTTCAAACTGCCAACTCATTGCAAAGGAAATGAAAGCCCAGACACATCACCATTTCATAACTGTTACAGTAATAGATTCAGCCAAAAATTACCAAAAAATGCTACGTCTATTGTGTGAGCTATTTTAAAGACAAAGACAGTTGCATAATCGTAAAATATCACTGAATTTAGTACTTATTAACTACAACAGGGAACTGGATAAATCTGATGGTCATAACTTCAACCAAATGATTAAACTTACTATCACTAGTAATAAAACAAACTTATTCTCTGTACTTGGTGATATATTTCATTGACATGATATTATAACCATGAACTATTCCTGCCAAAAGTGTTTAACCTGATTCTAATCATGAGCACATAAAAAGATAAATCCATATTGAGAGAAAATTTGCAAAGTAACTAACCCAGACTCTTTAAAAAATGTAAACATAACAAAAGACAATTTTTTTAAATGTAGGGGAGTCTTTAAGATCAAAGGAGACTCAAAACTTATAACAAAAAAGTGCAGTATAATGATCAATTACATATAGCAGTCAATTAAACTACAGAAATTTGCATGTGGCCTATAAGTTTGTGCCAATTATCTATTAGTGCCTATTAGCGCTACGACACTCTTTGAAGTCTAATTTGAGATGCTGGAACTGAATCTTGTAAACAGTCTCTCTTGCAGCTGGAGTGAAGAGGCCTTATCAATAGAGGGCAGTGGAAGGGCTTACTGGCTAGAGCAAAGGGTTTCGCATCCTGTTCTGTTCTGTTCTGATTGTTTTCTCCTTCCTCCTGCAGAAGTGCTGTCAGCTGGTGTGCGTGGAGCCAAGGGGTCTTGCACCGCAGCCAGGTTTTGTACTTAGAAACTACATAACCTCCGTTTAACCTCCACCCAATTTCTCTAGCATCTGGCTGGTGGCTGATTATGGACCATCTATTAAGGCACAGCCACATCCTCTCCAATAAGGTCTTACTCTTCTTTGGAGGAGGGCAAACTTCTCCACATTTGTTCCTTCTTTGGGTACTTTCCTCATTCCGAAAGGCTGTGGCTGCTCCCCACATTTGCTGTTCCTGCATTGTTCAGAGCAGGGGTCAACAAGCTTTCTCAGTAAATGCCTAGATAGTAAATAATGTAGGCTTTGGGGGGCATAAGGTCTCTGTCACAACTACTCAGTTCTGGTTTAGCAGAAAATTAAATAAAGAATATGAAAAGATCACTTAGAAGAGCCCGACAGAAGCAGAGGCAAAGGGGGTGACAGCATCTAGGACGCTGGGAAGAGCCTGAACTAAAAATAGTCACCTTTGACCTGCTGCCTGTTTTTAGCAGTTCAAAACCAGAAGGTGGCAGCAGAGAGCTATGCTACTGAAAGACTCCTAAGACAAAGGACCGCTGAAAAGCAAAGTGTGGGAGTCAGCGTTGTGCCCAGAAACTGACATTCAAGTGAAAAGGGAAGTATACACTAAATGCTAATAGGTTAAGATCAGAATTGAGGCAGTAGAATCAGTTTGTGTTCCTGGGACAGAAGGGGCACTAAGAAAAAAGTTAGATAACTTATATTATTATCTAAGCTCTGTGACCAGGAAGAGAGAAAAACATTTTAAAATTCAGAGTTAAAAATCACAAAAAATTTTGAATATGTGTCAGTAACTGTTGGGCTGGATCGAATTAGTGGGGGCAGGGCAGCTCTGGCACTGTTAGGGCACTTTATTGGTGGCCAGGAGCCTGAGAGGAAGTCCAAGTGCCAGCCGAAACTGGTGCAAAACCCAACAAAGATACTATTTTATCTCTCTTTTCTAATGAGGGTTTTATATATATTTTGTAAAAAAACACTTTTAAAATTACAAAACATAAAATTAAAATAATTTGAATCCCCAAACCCAGAGTTATGTACACATTATGCCTTTAATGTATTCTAGGGGTTAAAGTTTTATCTTTGGTAAAGTCAGCCTAGTAAGATCTTTCTCAGCCACTAAAAAAAAAAGCAGAAGTCCCATTAACTCTTCGAAATTCAAAATCGAATCAATTTATAATTTATTCTTGTATTTATATTTAACTACTATTCTGTCACTGAGAAACCTGTGTATTTAAATTTCCCCGCTATATGTAAACTCTATTCATGTTTTCCATAAACACTTACTGAGTACCTACATTCTAAAGACATAACATATTGTCTTTTTCTAGCATTAAAAATGACCCTTAAACATCTAAACAAATTTAAAAGACTAGAAAATCATACAATGTCTGCTGTCAGATCACAATAGAATTAAACTAGAAATCAATAACATAAAGATAACTGGAAAAATCCCAAAATATGTGGATTAAATAACATATTTCTAGGTAACACATGTTCAAGGAATAAATCTCAAAATTTATTAATTAATTTCCACTTAGTTCTAGTACTATTATTTTAACCTGGAACCAGAGTGGCCTAATGTTTTACTTTTCCACCAAAATTCCAATATGTCAAGCAAAAAATCCCTCCAAATTCCTGCATCTTGCAGAGAGGCATTCAACTGAAGCGTTGAGAAGTATTTAATATCTGATGAAAGCTTTCAAGATTTTGTTGTTGTTGTTGCAATATCACATTCTTCAAACAACACTGAATGATTTTGTTTGTTCTATCAACAGCATAACTGAATACATATTACCTTTTTATTGATTTTTCTCCCATCAATATTGGCTAATTTTATCCTGGGACTTGGATAATCTTGTCTTTTCTGAATAGGTCAGTTATTGGAATTGAAGTTATTTAAAAATTGGGATACATCATCTTTAACAGCTGGAAAATTCCAGAAACTTCTAGATATCTTGATTGTTTGGAGTTATTTTTAGTCTATGACTGCCTAAATGTTACTGGGTATTTTACAGATGCATTCATTTGAAAGGACATAATTCAGAAATTCTTCCTCTAAGGCTTCAAAAGGTTATTTCTGAGCTTGCTCACAGGTGATATTGCTATAATTAATGTCTAGAAGATATGAATTAAGGACTAATGTCAACCTATCATCAACAATACACAAAGTTGTCTGTAAAAAAAAAAAAGTTTCCCAGACTCAAAAACCTACAGATTTTCATTAATTAGTCCATGTAAAACAGCAGGGTCATTACAAACACAGAGACTACAAACTTTAATTACTACAAACCAGAATTAACTAAAGACAAACCAGAAATTTATTTTTAATTCATTACCATTCATGTGTACATCACAGAAATTTAATGTCCTATATATTTGGCTCACAGATTAGCAAAAGTGTTTAGCAATGGGAAATATTTCCTACACGGAGCAATTTCCTTCTGCTGCTTCCTTCTAGTTATCCCTGTTACCATAGGACAGGGAAAGGACCCGATGGACAATTTCTTCAGCTTTGCTTGAATGAGGCCAGGGGGCATCTTGCTTTGGGTTGGCAAAGCAAGTACAGCAGAATCACACCAAATTTGCACTTAACCTACATGTTGATTTTTATGGCAACAGAAAAATTTAGAAAAAAATAAACAACTTAATGCAACAGCATTCTTAACAAGTGACTGTCCCAGATTAGTGAAGCAATATGTCTGAAGAACTAAAGGTAGGTTGCAACGACTATGAGAAAATATGTGAATGATATCAAGGGTTTCCTGCCAATTGAAAAAAATTAACACACATTGTTAAGTTGCCAAATAAGTCGATGGTGTCTTCATTGATATCCTCAATAAAAATATTTATTGATGGCCATAGAGAAACACATATCAATGAAAAATTCAAGGCAATCCATAAACATCTACAGTATTATTATACATGCTGAAGCATATATATATATAAACAATACATGTAATCATATGCCTTATAATTTAAAATAATTTTGAGATTAATCTTTGCTATGCATAATTTTTATCATACTAATTTTAGAACATAGAAGATATAACAAACCCACTGAAAAGCCCATGAGGATAAATAAAGGCATGATACCCCAAGTCAGCTCCACAGCTGGGCTCCATGTGGGAACCAAACCCCATTTTCTCAGTACAGAAACATCTACTGGCGGACAATCTACATGTCCTAAATTTAGATGGCACATAAAAAGCCCTCACTAAAGACAGTGCTTTTAGAGGGCTTGGACATAGAATAGAGATTCTCTATTTTACAGATAATTGCATGATCTTAAGTCTTTTGTAAGAAAACACCAAAGACGAAAGAAGTGTGGGTGTGATGTGTGGTGGACAGAGTAGTCCCAATGTGTGGTAAAATGGACGTTGCTCATCTCTATGCCAAATGGCAGGGAATGGCTACTCATCATATCTTCATTTAGGAATAGATTTGAAGACTATCAGCTGTTGTTTCTGCAGATTGTGGTTATTAATTCCTTAGTGTTCTAGAATCCAATGACTTGTAGGCTTGAGGCAGGTAGCGCTTTTTCTTACATTGGTCAGGATGCAGGGGCATTTCCCAGCATCCCTACTTTCTACCACAGCAGGAATATTACATATTAGATATGTAGGATGGCGTTGAACCAAACACCCCTATTCTGGTGATCCAGGTGGTATTGCATCAGTAATAGCAAAGAGTAGACCCAATATTGGTCTGCTGCATTAAGCCCCAATTCTCTTCTATTCAGGCTGGGTCTCTGTAGAGAAATTATTTTTCTTCTGATTTTTGAGGAGCAGTGATTTTTAAAAAGACTATTATAGCTTAAATTAAAACTTAATATTATCAATATTGAATCAATAAAATTCAGGTTTATCACTGTTTTTCACAACTATAAAGAACATAGAGATACCAACCTTGAATTTTCTTCTCACTTCTGCTATTTGCTCTTCTAATTCCTCTGTTTTAAATTTGGTTAGGTGGAAAATAGCACCAACATGATAAGCTTCTTTGTATAGTTGTTTAAGATACTCATTATTTTTTGACTTCAGTTTCATCATAGATTGGATTTCAGATTCAAGCTCTGATTTTCTCTTTATACTGGAAAAATAAATAAAAAATATTGATACGATTATTCCAAAGGAGTACATATATTGAGACAAATACATTTAATAACAGTAAGAAGATTGTTCTTTTTGGTTTCCAAAAATATCAAATGATCAGATAATTAACTAAAACATGAATACAGAAAATATTTCCCAAAGTTCCCTTCATTTTTCTGCATCTGTACATACCCCTAACCGCCAGGCTGCACTTCATCTTGGAAGGATAAGCATGTCAGTAAGAAAGCCCTGGGACCCCCGGCGCTCAGCTCACAGAGCACCCACTCCCTGCTGTTTCAATCCACCCTTTCTAACCCTGAAGAGCAATACTCAGAATAATCGAATGTAAGAAAAGTCCAGTCCATGTAAAAGAGAAAGAAGCTTCAGTGAAAGAAAACCAGTAGCTAAAACAAAACTCTCAGGAAGAAAACCAATAGCTAACAAGGGAGAGTTAACAGAGGGGGAAAAAGTAAGACATTAATATCAGTATAAGATTTTTAAAGACACAGAGAAATACTAGTCTCTAAGGAAAACTAATAAATTATATTTCCTGTCCAGATTGGGTACCATCTTTGTTCCAAATACATACCACTGACACATACAATATATAAAAAAGAAATATATATATCACAGATGAGGTAACTAACCATCTATGAAAAATAGAAATGGAACTTGAAAGCAAAGCAGGAGTGGGAGTGAAGCGGCATGAAACTGGCTGACGGAATTCCACCTGAAGGGTGACCAGGGCAAGGTTCACTGCATCCTGGGAAGGGTTTGGGCAGACTGTACTTGTTTAGAAAATAACCAATTCACTGACCGGAGCAATAGGTTTAAAAGAGCTAGGAGGTGGGGCACTGGGAATAAAAGACCCAAAATCAAGAACTCAACCAATAAGAAAAGAATCAATCAAAAGGGAACATTTTAAATAAATCTTGAAACAAATGAAAATGGAAACACAACATAACAAAATGTGCAACATAACAAAAGTAGTTCTGAGAGGAAAGTTTATAATGATAAATGCCCACGTTAAAAAAAAAAAGATCTCAAATAAACCACCTCATTTTACACTTCGAAGAACTGGAAAAACAAGAATAAATGAAGCCCAAAGTTAGGAGATGAAAAGAAATAGCATTTAGAAAAGACACAAATGAGAAACAAAAAACAATAAAAAATCTGAAAAGACAGACCAATGACTAAGGAAAATCAATTAGTAATCAAAAACTTCCAATTTAAAAAAAAAGTCCATAATTTCATGGCTTTACTGGTATAGTCTACCAAACATTTAGAAATTAATACCAATTCTTTTCAAGCTCTTTCCAAAAGTTGAAGAGGACGGGACATTTCCAAACTCATAAAATCAGCATTACTTTAATATCAGGATGTGAGGGCGATCTGGCTGCGACATCTGTCACCCCATTGATCGCCAGGGTCGATTCGGCTAATCTGGCTGGCTAAGCGGGTGTTTCCTTCCTCCCTCACCGATCCATGTGCGTCCCTCCCGAAGCTGCGCGCTCGGTAGAAGAGGACGACCCTCCCAACTAGAGGAGAGGACCGGTCTTCGGTCAAGGGTATACGAGTAGCTGTGCTCCCCCGCTAGAACCTCCAAACAAGCTCTCAAGGTCAACATCTATTTATGATTAAAAAACTCTCAACAAAGGTATACAGAGGGAATGTACCTCAGTATAATGCAGTCCATATATGACAAGTCGACAATTAACATTATACTCAATGGTAAAAAACTGAGGCTTTTCATTTAAGATCAAGAACAAGACAAGGGTGCCCACACTTACCATTTCAACACAATACTGAAAGTCTTAGCCACAGCATTTAGGGAAGAAAAAAATAAAAGGTATTCAAATCATAAAGAAATAATTAAAATGTTCTGCTTGCAGAAAACATGATATTACGTATAGAAAAACCTAAAACACCACTACAAAACTGTTAGATTAATAAATAAATTCTGTAAAGCTGTAGGATAGAAAATTAATATACAAAAATCTGCTGCATTTTTATACATTTACAATGAACTATGTGAAGAAGAAATAAAACAATCCCATTTACAATATCAAAAATAATAAAACACTTAAGAATCAATTTAACTAAGGGAATGAAAGAGCTGTATATTGATGACTGTAGGACATTGAATAAAAGACATTAGACATTGGTAAAAGACATTGAATAATGAAAAGATAACCTACAAAAGGAAAAAATAATATTTGCAAACCATTTATATAATAAGGTTTCATATTTAAATACATAAGGGACTTGTACAACTCAGTAGATAAAAACCACATAACCCAATTTAAAATAAAATGGTCAAAGGATCTGAATAGACACTTTTCTGAAGGTATAAAACTTGTCCAAAAAAAGTACATGAAAATGTGCCCTACATCACTAATTATCAAGGAAATGCAAATCAGAAACAATGATCTATCACCTCTCACCAGTTAGGATGGCTCTTAACAAAAAGAGATAGATAGCAACTGCTGTCAAGGACATGAAGACAAGGGAACAATTATACGCTGTTGGTGAGAATGTAAATTGGTACAACCATTGTGAACCATAGGGTAAAGATTCTTCAAAAAATTAAACTAGAACTGCATTATGATCCAGCAATCCCACTTCTGGGTATATATTTGAGGAACAAAATCAGTTTCTCAAAGAGATGTCTGCGCTTTAATATTCATTGCAGTATTATTCATGTTAGCCAAGAGTTGGAGACAACCTATGTCAGTCAGTAGATGAATGGATAAAGGACATATATCTATATCTATCTCTGTATCTATATCCATTTATATCTATATCATCTGTTTCTATATATCTATATCAATCTGGCCATTAGAAAGAAGGAAATCCTGCCATTCCCAACAAGATGAATAAATCTAAAGGACATTATGCCAAGTGAAATAAACCAGGCAGAGAAAGACAAATGTTGTGTCATCTGACTTATGTGTAGAATCAAAAAAATTTTAACAGAAACAGAGAGTATGGAATGGTGGTTACCAAGGGCTGAGGGGTGGTGAAAATGAGGGAGATAGTGGTCATAGGTATAAGCCTTCAGTTATAAGATGAAAGAGTTCTGAGGCTGTAATGTGAGTATGGCGACTATAGTTAAAAATACAACATTACCTACTTGAAATTTGCTGAGACTGGAGACCTTAAGCAAAATAGCCACAAAAGGAAAAAAAGTAACTGGGCAAAGTATGGTAATTATGTCACAAAGTGTACAAATGTCAAATCATCACATTTTATACTTTAAATATATACAGTTTTATTTGTCAATTATACCTAAATAAACTTAAAAAAATTAAAGAAAAGAATAAAGAGAGGGATGTATGTAACAAAATTATATCTGAACAATTTCCAGCACTGAAAATCAACACGTGTCATTAAATTGGAAAGTCCTAATTAGTGCTAAAATGGCACGCAGAGAAGCACACACTCCTCTAGACATGCAATTGTGAAATTTCAGGACTCTGAAACAGCAAGAGAAAAATCTGAAGTTCCTAGACTGAAAAAAAACAGGTTACCTACAAAAAAATGATATCCAAATGCCATCAGATGTATTACCAAGCAGCTAAATGAAAGACAGATGTTTAGAGAGCTAATGTATAATGTGACTATAGTTACCAATATTGTATTAAATACTAGAAATGTGCTAAGAGTACATTTCAAGGGCTCTCATTGCACACAGAAACAGCAACTATGTGAAGAGATATGTTAATTAGCTTGCCTGTAGTAATAATTTCACTATTTATATCAAATTATTATGATGTACAACTCAAGTATTACATACAAGTTCTTAAAAAACTAAATGAAAGAAGAAAAACACCTTCAAATTAATGAGAAAAATTGACTTCTGATCTATAATATTACACTTTGATAAAATCCTTGTTTGAATGGGTTGAATGGAAAATGAAATGCTTGTGAGTGCATGGGAACAGAAGTATTTATTAGAATAAGATTTGCTATAAAGACTAGAAAGGCAGAGCTGGGGTGTAGGGCTCTGTTTTGTCTTGCGTTTGCTTCTTTTCTAAGATGAACAATATTTGCAGTGTCCATATGCTGTTAAAGTAGAGAAAAATAATAATGATTCACGGGGGGGAGGAGATAATTGTAGGTGTAAGGCTCCTGCATGTGTAAGAGAGGATGACATCCACTTGGCAAGTGCACGGATAGCGGGCCCTCTACCCAAGGGCAGCGTCTGTTATTGTGTCGTAACAGAGGAGAAGACAGTGTGTGAAGGCATGCAAATAGGCTGGTAAGAGAAAGAGGTAATTCTCATTTGATTTGTGTATGTTTATGAATTATTTAGGAAGATTATGGGCTTAAAATGAGGGTGATGTGGGCATTAGGACTGGAGAGTGAGAAAATATGAAACAGTTGCCAGAAAAACAAAATTGTCTAGAAATTTTTTGGCAAGGCTTAATGTCACTGGGGCTGTGTGCTCATAGAATTTAAGTTTTACTCAGCAGCAAATATACTGCAATATTAACGAAACTTAGATATGAGGGCTTCTAACTGACCCCAACTCCTTGTAAGGTCCTTTGAGTGTTTCAAAGAATGTTTTCTCATGGTCATATGTTTTTAGTTTGCAAAAATAAGGTATCTTAATCAAAACTTACTAAGACCAGTTTCTTTTTCTAATATAACATAACCTTGTCAAGTGTCATTGAAATGACTGTAGTCATTCTCTACTCATAATCTTGTACTCTTCTCTTATAAAGAGGCCTTATATTCTAAATCTTCATGCCCACCAAATCAGAATCCACTATGGTGAGATTATTTAGCACAGCTGCATTTTACTTGAGCCACATTCAACTGTTATGATTTTGATTTATTTCAATGATAGGGCTTTTGAAGTCACAGAAACAAGGTTTAGAAGGTTATTTAAATGGATGCGTATTTTGGTCAAATATAACTAATCTCTGTAAGAGAGAAGAACAAGAAAGTGGGGTAGCAATGATGGAGGGTGAAAAATTTTTGGAGGGATAGTAC